GGTGGCTCAGAAACATGGACTTCTCCATTTCTCTCTCTTTCTCTCTCACTCTCTCTCTCTCACTCTCTCTCTCTCTTTCTCTCTTACTTCTGATTTTTGCAAACAAGAACTGATGGCTGGAGCTGAGATTAATAAATAAAAGTTCTTGGGCTTTCGGGAATTGACATGGGCCTTGATGGGCTGGAGGTGGGTCATTACAGAGATTTTAACGTACGGATCTGATGAGCTCGAGGTCAAGTTCATCAGGCCGAAGAAGCATATCAGCGCTAGGGTTCCGGTAAAACATAAACTCCCGATCTCCGTCAGCACGTAACGTCACGAACGCTAACGCCGTTCTAGCTCCCGTGTCGAAGTTAATCCCCCGATCAACGACGCCGTTTTGCCTAAGGATATTAGCGAGCATGTGTCCGAACTCGTCGTCGCCGAGTTTCCCGACGAAGGCGGATCGTCCTCCGAGACGCGAGACGGCGATGGCGACGTTGGCGGGAGCGCCGCCGGGAGCTTTGAGGAAGCCTGGTGCTTCGGCGAGCGAGACGCCGGATTCGGTCGGGACGAAGTCGATGAGCATCTCGCCGAAGCTGACGATGAGTGGTTTCTCGCCGTTGGATGAAGTCATTAGGGAAAGAAGAGGAGATCTGTGGATCGTTGGATTTAAAACGGAAGAGATTAATGTGAGAAGAAGGGAAGGAGACTGGTTTATATAGAGAGAGTTGTAACTGGTGATGATGATATTAGTGTAATCATTTAAGATAGTAATAAATGTTTTTTTTTTTAACAAATATCCATGATCCAGAATATGTTATCTTCTAAAACCACGAGTTTCTTTAATAAAATGCAAATATCTTTTCGAAATATTTATTACCTTTTCAAGCGTTTGCCCGAATCTTTGATTTTTTTTTTCCTTCTGTTTATAAAAAGATTAGAAGTCAAAATAAACGTTCAATTAGGAATTTAGGAGTAAATAATCATTATTATGTTGATGACTACTGCTAGAGCCATGATATGTGATATTTTGGGGGATAATGACAAAACAACAACAATATATTCTCACGTGTTCAAGAACTGTATGTATTAAAAATGAAATTTTTATTCATTAATATCAATTTTTATTTAAAAAAGTAATAGTATAAGTTACATTTTCTTTTTAAATTCTAGTTAGAAGCTTGTTGAAATTATGGTTTTAATAAGATATACGCTGCAAAGTTGACGAAAAATATATGAATCATATACCATATGAAATGATTCACGTTAAATAGTTAAGAAATAAGAAGTGCACTGGCTGATCCGACTTGTATTTAATTTAATACTTTGTTATTAATAATGAATCATACCAGGATTAAATAATCTGTTAAGACTCCAATAAAAACAAAACTCAGCACGTTACAAATCTCAAGATTTGTCTGAAATTTGGTTCGTCATTATACGGTGTAATAAGAACCATGTTCACAATTTTTTTTTTTCGAGTTGCTTTGCTTGTTACAAACTATTAGCACACAGACTGCCAACATTACTGGAAACAAAGCACAGATTTGATGGGCATGCATTGTTGTTAACGTGAGACAGTAGACTAGATCTACAAAGGAAGAGGCTGCAAAGTGAGAAAGGTTTGTTCATGTCGTTAATGTTGCTCTTCTTGTTGTATTGACCTTGGTGGTTATATGATCATGGAAGTTGTTATTAAATTGTTTATGGTCTTCAAAAATTTCGAAGCTGGCCATTAAAAAAGTTTCAACTCTCCAACCATTTCGCCTTAGCCCTCCAACCACTTTGATGTGTTTTGCGCAACCAGTCGATATGCTGCCACAAAACTAAAATAGGTCGACAAAGCCATATCACATGAGTTTCACCAAAGAGCTGTTGGTAACTTACCTCATAATTTTAGCTAACTTCTCAGACAATGGAGCGTATGTTTAGCAACCAAGCATGGACCATTGCGTATACAACACCACAAGACATCAGGTGTAAGTCCAAACACGAATTAGACCACATGTGCGCCTCATTTCTATAAAGGAAAAGGTTTCGAAAAGATAGAATTACAAACTTAACCAACATAATTACATACATCAATGTGCCTAATAACTAATAAGTATAAACTGTCAAAAGTTTAGACTAAAATGGTGGTTCTTTACATCTTTCCCAAAGTCTCTCCTCACTTTTTTTTCCCTCTTTTGGATATGCGGCAGTACTAACGATAATAATAGCTCATGATGATTCTCTTCCAGTTCATCAATTTCAGGTTAACGTTGAAATTGCAAAACATTTTATCATAGGCTGTTTTGACATGAGACTACGAGAGCAAATCTTAGTTTAAAAGTATCTTTTGTGCATGAGAACTACTTCAATAAAAGCTGTTTATTAACGACTCTACCTACAGTAAGGATTAAAATGATTTATCTAATTGATAAAACATTTTTATGGCTCAAAATACAATTTGTTTTTGCTTTGTTACAAAATATTATCACACCGCAGAAAATACCACCGTTGTTACAGGTTACAAACACATACTTGGCGGTCATAAATTTGTTTACATAACAGAGAGTACAAACTACAAAAGAAGAGGCTGCAAAGTGAGAGAGGTTTGTTCATGCTCTTCTGTTGATCTCTTTGTTGTGCTACCACCTTTGGTGGCTATGTGGTCATGGACGATCAAGAGTTTGAGTGTGGCTGATTCACGCAGCCAAGTTGCTACCACCGAACCGCTTGATGTGAACCGTCCCATGTTGCATTTTGAAAGGTAGAACGGTGCGTCCATTCCCCTCAAAAGCGCTTCAACCGCTGGCCTTAGTGCTGCATCTCCAACCACTTTGCTGTGTTTCCCCCAACCAGTCAATATGCTGCCATACAAAAACATATCAAATTTTTTTGACACAACATTGTATTAGTAAGTAATCCTCATGTAAGACAACTTAAACCTATCAAACTGCTTGCTAGTTATCACAAGACAACCTAGCATCTACTTTGGTTAGTGCAAGATTGTACTTGAGTATTAAACTTTTTGACAAAGATGAGTTGTATTACCTCAAAAGTTTAGGCAACTCATGACCTTCATAGACAATGGAGCGTATGTTAAGCAACCAAGCATGGACCATTGCACGTGCAGCACCAGAAGACATAAGGTGCAAGTCCAAGCAAGACTCAGACCACACGTTCTCCCAAACTTGTCTAGACCTTCCCTCAAGCGCCACCAGTTGCGCTCCACGTTTCTATGAACAAAAGGTTTCCAAAAGTAAAACCCTTGCACTAATAGTAACGCTTAGAAGCACCAAAACTTGACCTCTAAAATAACAGTGTGGTTTTACCTGACCAAAGTGCCAGAGCATGTCGGTAAGAGCATTGTAGAAGGCAGCAGCAGTGGAACCATCCATTTCGTTTACTTTGTCGAATAAGCTCTGAGCCTGGAGCCACACATTCTCTCTGTGACCCTTGAGAAGTCCATGAACAACACCATACACCTGATTATCAAACAGCCTGAGCTCCTCTAGCAGCATCGATGCATCTTCGAATGAGTTGCACCGACTACACCGACACAAACATGTCAACTAAATAAGATTCCTCACAGAGCTAATCTATAATAACATTAACAATTATGTCATTATCTTTCACTCTCTAAGTTCAAGACGAGATATCTAAGAGAAGGACAAACCTGCAAGCATTCAGAATAGCGGAAAAGGTTACAACATTTGGTTTTATTTCCAGCTGATGCATTTTGCGGATAACTTCCAATATAGAGGAGAGCTCATGCATACCCTCCTTACAATCTTTCTTCACCCTATTATTACTCTCGATGGTTAGTTTCCCAAATATCTGCATCACCTGATTATCCTCTGTTTCAGTCAATTTACTTATAGAAGAAGAAGGTAAAGAGGATGATCCAACTCCACCATCTCCAGATTCAGCTAAGCACTCCATTGTTGCAGAACGACCAAAAGCATCAATTATAGAATTATAAGTTACAACATTAGGGCTGATCCCTTCCTTTGTCATCTCATCGATCAAAGAAACAGCAGAACCCACCAACCCATTCTTGCACAATGCATCAATCAATGCACTGTACAAAACAACATCAGCTCTCAAACCAGCGCTTTTAAACTCCTTAAATATCTCCAAAGCCTCTTTATACAAACCCCCTTTCGAGTAGACATCGATTAACGTCGAGTAAGTCAGTAGATTAGGCATCACACGCTCCCGTTTCATCTCAGCGAAAACATTCTTGACTTCAAGATAGTTTCTCTGCTTCCCATACCCTCCAAGAAGAGCGTTATAAGTCACTACATCCTTCTTGATCCCAACAGACGCCATCTCTCTCAAAACATCCAAAGCCTCTTTAGATCTACCAAGCTTAGTGTATATCGAAAGCAACGTATTGTAAGAGACTCTATCCAACGCAATACCGAGATACTTCATCTCATCAAACAAGTTCAAAGCCTCATCAAACCTCCCAGCTTTAGCAAACCCATCGATGACAGCACTATAACTCACAACGTTAGGCATGATTCTCTTGGAAGGCATCTGAGCAAGAATCTCAAAAGCAAGATCCATCTTCCCACCTTTACAGATAGCATCCAAAAGAGTATTGTAAGTAAACACATCCTGCTCAATCCCTCTCTTCGACATCTCATCAAACAGATTCCTCGCAGCTTCCCACAACCCTCCTCTGCTACAAACAGCGAGGAGAGAGTTAAAAGTAATCCTATCAGGCTGCACATTGTTCCTCTGCATCTCATCGAAAAACTCAGCTACTTGCTTAAACTCCATCCCTCCTTTCCCACAAGCGTCAATCACAGCGTTATAAGTAACCAAATTAGCTCTCAAACCATAGCTTCTCATAGAGTTGAACACACCAATAGCTTCCTCATAAAGCCCACTTCTCCCATAAGCGCTTATAATAGCCGAGAAGGCGTAAACAGTGTTCCCATACCCACCAGCTAAAGCACCTTCAAAGACTCTCTTAGCGATAGACACTTTCCCTAACCTACCAAGAGTACCAATCATCGCACTCGCTAACTTCCCTTGCTCCACCTTCCTCCCCTCACGCGCCACGGCGAACTCGTAAAATCTAACGGCTTTATCACACTCACCTCTGTTCCCAAGCTCCCTGAGGATGAAAGTGTAGTCATCAGAGCCGCGGAGGCTGGATTCAAAGCTAAAGATCAAAGCTTGGAAAGTCTCGTCGTCGCCGGAGAAGCTGATAGCGCTCTGGAGAGCCTCTTCGGCGGCGGAGCTGTGGCGGGAGGAAGATAAGGTCTTGGGTCTGCCGAAATGCATCTTGGAGACGAAGCGGGTGGAGCGGCGGCCGGAGAAATCGGAGGAGGCGGACTTGGGGGTTTGTAAAGGTGGAAACTTTGTGGAGGAAGGGGCGGAGACGGCGGAGGAGGAGGGGGGAGCTGAGGTGACGGCGCGGGTGTGGCGAGGGTGGGAGGGGAGGCGTTGGGGGAGCCATGGACGGTGTGTGGGGTTGGGTTGTTGGCGGATCTGAGGGTGGGTGTTGGTGGTGGTCATGGACCGGTGAGGCGGCGTTGACGCCATTGGAAGAGATAAGGTGGAACAGTGACGGGGAAGAGAGAGAGAGATAATGAGCCTTTCGTTTTTATGTTTGGACTCTTTCTTCTCTCCTTATCACTTTCATAATATCCATTTTATATATTTGTTTTTTTTTTTTGGGTTTTGGAGTTTTTTTTAGGTTTAATTGTTTCTCCTCACTCATGGCTATTCACACGGAGAAGGGAAAGGGATAAGGTGATACTTTTATAATATTTTTTTTTGATGAATTTACATTTTCGTTATGTTAATGTTTTCATTTTACATTTTAATACAGAATTTTCTGTAAAAAATGATGGGTCGTTCAAAAAGGTTTTATAAGAAAGAGTTCAGCTTTGTAAAACAAAGAAAACCAAAAGTCATCGCATAGCTATGTGTTTTTTTTTTTTTTTCCTTTTTTACATTTTGATTCACTAAATATTGAATTTTCAGAAAAATGATGATCCTGTAAAGTTTTAGGAAAAAAAGAGTTACAGCTTTATACGACCAACTCTCACCAAATGATTTTTTACATTTTGATTCTTTAAATATTGAATTTTCAGAAAAATGATGATCCTATAAAAGAAATGTTTTAGGAAAAGAAAAGAGTTACAGCTTTATACGACCAACTCTCACCAAATGAGAGATAATAATAACTCACCTACCTCTAAAGACGAATAGAAGATTACATGAGTAATTGTCTCACCTAATATAGCAAAAATGATTTTCTAACTCTAGGCCAATCCTAGAGTTGCTGACGTCTTAGAGAGTTAAAGAGTTTCGGACAATATGATTTCCGTGTCAGCAAGTCACATGCTTGGTCATTGCTTATACCTTGGGTAACAAAGTGATCATAAATCTGAACTAATCCAACACAAATGAAGTTTTAAATCTTTGACTTTCTGGTCGCAAAAATAGCTTTACGTGTTCTGTAAGATCATGAACAGTTTAAGTAACTGACAAATGAATGAAACACTTGTAACAAGAGCTAAAAACAGCCGCAATTCAGACATGAGTAGATGAGAAACACATAAGTTCTGTAAAAAGGATGAACCACTTCACTTTCTCAAAACAGAAAGGTATGTTTTTTCATTAACAAAAGACGCAATACACAAAAAAGAATAACTCTCTGTCTCTCTCACAGAACGAAACTCGAATTGAAATAATCATCTCATCTAGGAATAAGCAGAACACTTCCAATTCTAGACACTCTTCTTGTTACCATTCAAGATATAATCAGAAACCACTTTAAGATGCTTCCTCTGTTTAAACTTAGCAATCTTCTTCAACGTCTTAGGGTTCGTAATCATCTGCAACTTAGTCCCCGTCCTCAAAACATTCTCCTCCTTCCTCTTCTCTCTCTCTTCCTTCTTCCTCCTCTTCTTCACCTTATTACTCCTAATCTCCTCCTCCTTAAGCTCACTCATCCTCTTCATCTCCTCCACATTCGGTCCCTTGTTCCTCACGAACCTCCCTGACGCTCTGTGATTCCGCGGCTGCTTGCTTCCACGGCCGTCCGGACACTTATCACGCCGTCGTATGTAGGTTTGTCTGGATCTTCTGAGGAAGCGACGGCGCTGCGTTTCGCGGAAGGAGGGTGGATCGAGTCGATGTCAATGGAGGAGCTAAGTGGTTGTTGTGGCGGGTAGGTTTAAAGAAGTTTAGGTTTTTTCGAGTTATTTATATGAGTGATTTGAATCAGGTTAGAGATCTGGTCCAAATCCAACAATCGAACCGAACCGGATTGTAATTCAATTACTCTGGTTTGGTAGAAATTTGTTGGTGCAAATTAAGACCGAGTTAACTTAAAGGTTATTTACAACTCTTTTTTCAAACTAGTTACCTCTTTTTTTTAAAAAAAAATTGTACCCCTAGTTTTAGAAGATCTAGTTAATACTGTATATGATGTTGGTTGTTGGTGTATTGGCTCTTTGGTTCCCGGTCAAAGCAGGTCGTTCACCGTGAAAGCAAGATAGGGTGAATCTGTATCGTAATAGGGGTATGAGTATAGTATATGTACAAAGAGGTAATTTACTCCTTCGACTGGTCCTTGTTTGGTTTAATGAATGATGTCCGTGAAATCAAAAAATTATAGAGGAAGATGAAATACCAGCTGATTCCCCTATTGATTAACCTCCACCCAAATATTAGCAACGCGGATAAGATCCCAGCTCCTTCTCCAACGAAAGAGATTTATTAACTAGACAGGCAAAGACATCGTCATTCTTAGGGGACAAGTAGATGAGATCATATAACTTTACAAATATCAATGGGTAGGTCATATTTTCATTTTATTCTTATGAAATTCTATGTGCAGCTCTAATTTATTTTCTACAGTAGAAGCCTCATTGGTTTAGTGGTTTGACTTATAAATGCTTCTACACACACAAAAAAAAAACTGGATTTTAATTCTTAGATGAAAATAAAATTATGCGAATTAATAGAGAAAAACTTATAAGAGATTTGCAATAAGGCGCAAAAATAGAACGGCTCAAGTGATTTGCAGACGTGGTTCCATATAAGACATGTAATCGTTGAATCGTCTTTTTTTAAAAAAACACTTATTCCCCACATTTTTCTAATTACCTTTTGTTAACAAACATCTATTCAAGAACCAATAGTTTCTGATATTTTATGAATACTTGGATATTTTAGGTGTCCGAAAACTGGTTATTTTACGCATATCCATTCAAGAACCGAGAAAATTGAATACAATCTAAACAAGAACTAAATTAATCTTATTATGTAAAAATCACAATTTGTCTGAAAACAAACCCCTTGTTACATGTTGGCTTAAGCACTACCGTGCGTGTGTTTAGAATCAGGAACGACGAGAGCTGCTCCAACCGGAGTGTTTAGAATCACTTACCGGAGGAGAGAGAGCCAAACATAGTTTACCTCCTCCATATCGGAACGACCATATTACAGTGACGTCATCGACCACAAACTCATTACTGGTAAGCACATTGTTCCAACCAGCAACCACCACGTAATTCCAATACGCACCCATCTTCCACCTCCTTAACTCAACCTTATGCCTTTTTGACTTAGGATCCACCAAGAGCACGCTCACACTTTCTTTACGACTTTCCAGTTCATCATCTGGCTGTTCGTGTAGGCAGAGCCGGACCTGTGGCTTTCGGGGCCCTATTCAAAGTAACGATGAACTCATCTAGTTTTCATATTAATAAAACAACATCTAAAAGGTTTATAGAGATACTTGTAGAATAATATAGAAGTAACAATATGTACATAGTTCTATCTACAATATAGTACAATAGTTTTATGAGAAACATAACAATAAAAGAAGCTGAAGAAACAGTCTCTAAGTTTCCTCTCGCGAGTTAAAGAATTGTGTGTTTTACAATCATTCAGCCAGCTAGCTACCTATAAGGCTATAACCCACTTAATATTTCATGTGTACATAAATGTATGTTGTTGAGTAAGTTAAATAACAAATGGAAATGGTGTGATAAGTTACCCAACGTCCCGCCAATGACTCTACACATAATACATATCAAAGAAAAAATTGCAAGTGGGGGCCCCATACAAATGTTTCATAAAACTAGGTACAAGTCCGGCTCTGCGTGTAGGAGTTGTGTCTCCTCTTCCGTCAAAAAATCCGAACTAAGCAGTTGGTTTATAGGTATTGAGAGACGTGACTGTTGTCTGTTGAGATCACTCACGTGCAGTTTCTTCTCTATGATCAGCTTCGGATCGCGTGCGTTCTTTTCTTTCATCATCTCCACAACAAGCCACTCGGGTGGTGTAGCACAAGATTTCACCGTGCGGCCACTGTCTCTCTCTTTTTCTTCTAGAATCGTTTTTGATAATTTAGCTAACATATCCAGCTTCCAAAATTTATGATCATCAGATTTCACCATTGGCATGGATTCTCTTGAAGATATATTGTAACGGGGACAAGAAGCTACGCGAGTTGTAGATAGCGTTTGAGAGAAAGATTAGGTTTCTTTATATGCAAGGCACCGAGGTAAATAGAGAGAGTGATCTTATTAAATAACATATTGTTAGTTTGGTTCCTATCAGGATTTTCTCTTTCTCAACTCCTAATCTTACTAGGATTAGTCAAACTACAATATAATTCTATAATCTTCTAATTTTTAACTCTCGATTTTCCTATTTTGATTTGTTTTTTGAAATTACGCTAACAAAACGTGGCCAGCCCCAAAAATAATAGTATCAATGTGTTCATACCAAGTGCAGGAAAATATCCAAAGCAAAAAGAAAATCTAGAGAACTCAGTGAGAAAAGAATCATATTGCTATGTACTATTAATGGTCGCAACCTTCAAGGGTGAGTATTGAAAGAGAACCACTTATTACATAGCCTTGATTCAGTACATGGCCATTTGATTCATACTATAGCTATAACTTTTCATAGCTAGAGGCATGGGAAATTAGTGGATCACGTAATTACAAGTAGAAAAGAGTTTCTAAAATATAATTTAGAACAATCATTGCTCCATGGTGAACAAGATGATACAAAATAAGACAGAAAATAATCCTCCAATAACAACACAAAACCATTAAAAAGATAAGGTCCTATGATGCTTAAAATAAGAGCTTAAGAGCCAGCCTCCGTTCTAAAGTCTTAAAACAATTCCATAAGAGTAACATCCCGTTGTGATATATGTAAAGGTTTAAGAAGATTGATTTCGCTAGGCCTGGGCATTTTCCGGTTCGGATCGGGTTCGGATCGGGTTCGGATCGGGTTATGTCGGGTCCGGGTCCTTCGGGTCTTAGATATTTAGACCTAATAGGGTAATTAGACTTTGTCGGTTCGGGTTCGGTTCGGGTCCTACCGGGTCCAGGTCGGTTCGGGTCTTATAAAGTTAGACCCAATGGGGTAATTAAAATTTATTGGTTCGGATTCGGTTCGGTTTCGGGTCGGGTTCGGTTCGGGTTCTACCGGGTATGGTCCAAAAAAATACCTAAAACACACAAAAAATACTGGAAAATATTTAAATATCCAAGAAATACCCAAAATTTTACACAAAACCTCCCCCGAATACATAAAAATATCCAAAACTTTATATGATTATTCGAATTATATTTAAAAAAACCTAAAATTTTACTTAAAACCCGTAATTATATCCGAAAACCCAAATCCAAGACATAAAATAATACTTATAATACCATAAAAAATACTAAAACACATATATATATATATATATATATACATAATATATACTAGATGTTTTGGATATTTCGGGTACCCCATCGGGTCTCAGATTCGGGTCGGTTCGGGTCCAAGACCCGCGGGTCCTCCACATCAAGACCCAATAGGGTAAAATGATCGGTTCGGTTCCTATCCGAACCGCATATTTTCGGGCCGGTTCCGGGTCGGGTCTTCGGGTCCGGATAAAATGCCCAGGCCTAGATTTCGCTATCTATATCACCAAAGTGCAATTACCTTTTCGAAAACACATCTAGAGAGAACTCCAGAGTTAAGCGTGCTTGAGATGGAGTAGTCAAAGGATGGGTGACCTATCAGGAAGTGATTTTCGATACCGTGTAAGTGAGGCCAAAGCACGGAAAAAGGTCGGGTGGTGATTGCAGGGTCAGTAAACATAACTCTAGAACCTTGGAAAATTAACGGACCGGCTGTTGGAACGAGATGAGACCCATGGACCAAGAGAGTGAACGTAAGTGGCCCATTAGCCGTGGGCGGTCGGGGCGTTACAATAAGCTTCACGTCCTCTACATGATTCAGAAAAGTGTGAACTCTATGAACCCCATCAAACGGTCCCATTCCTTGAACTTCAAATCATCTTCTAGTTGACTCAACAAATTGTAGTAGTAAACATAGAAAGGCCGGCCGAATACATATCCACGACACAAAACAAGTTCGTTTGCACCAGTCACTCCCACAATGAATAAGTTCTGCCCTCCACATATATACTCCAACAAAGAAGGTAAATTGTAAATATAATTAAACTATTCATGTTTCTCGGAGTCTTGTAAAACCCATATCTCCAAACTTCTAGTTGAATTAGAAATAAGACCGGGGGGATATTGCGACATGACCAAAGCCAATTTACCGTTGTAGTTTACAAGAGCTGATTTAGGATGCAATACTCTTTCCATGACTTTAACAAAGTTGTACTTCTCAGACCTAACATCAAAGCAAACTAGCATATCTTGACCATTGGAAGAGCTGTTGGCCTTAGCTTTGAAATACAAAATACCATTAATTCATATACTACATGGCCCCGGAGAACCATACTGGGGTATGTCACATTCAATCCTTCTCCATGTCAATTTATCAGTTCCTCCTAATGTCAGAACTTGATGGTCTTCAGCTTTTGTATGTCCGTAATATTGAAATCAAAACACACAAGAACCAAATATAAATACTCACTTTATTATAGCTTTAGAAAATTATCATAAAACTAAAGCTCTCAAACTCGTAAGTTGTATCACAACATGATACCTTCTTACATAGCTATTATAATTTCCTAAACTCATTAGAAATCATTTAAGTAAATTTTCGTTTTCTCTAGTCCTAAACTCATTAGGATAACTTATAACCTAAGTTAACTTCAAACTTAAATCAATATTCTCCCCCATAAGTTTGAAATCTCCATTCTTCACATCTTACACTCCAATGAGATCCCTCATCTCCTTGAACTTGATCCTTCCAAGTGCTTTATTTATTATATCAGCCTTTTGTATTCTCCATTCTTCACATCTTGAACTCCAATGAGATCCCTCATTTCCTTGAACTTGATCCTTCCAAGTGCTTTATTTATTATATCAGCCTTTTGTATTCTCCCAGCTAGATACTCCACGTCCACCAATCCATCTGCAACATACTCTCTTATAAAATGAAACCTTGTATGAATGGTTTTCTCCTTCCATGAAACACCGGGTTTATAGAGAGTGTTATTGCAGACTTATTGTCAATGCGAAAAACAGCCTTCTCAGTTTCTTCATTTGTGATCTCTTCAAGAAGCTCTTGAACCCACAATGCATGTTTTGCTATCTCAGTCGCCGCTGTAAACTCTGCCTCGTAGGAAGACAACAAAACAATTTCTTGTTTTTGTGAACACCAGGTAACCGACACTCATTCAAGTAGAAAATATGCCCAGTCGTACATTTTCCATCATCCTGGTCCACATTGTAACTACTATCAATGTAGCCTATAAGTTCCTTCTTGCCGTTATTCACAAAATATAAAAAAGCCCCTAGATACGAAACACAAAAAGATGCAAGCTTTTTTCATCACAAAATCGGCAACAAATGATACAAGATCTGAGCTTTCATCACAACACATGCCACAAATGGTAAAAGGTTCGAGCTTTCATCAAAACACATGCCACAAGTGATAAAAGATACAACCTTTGCATCAGCAAACAAAGATAAAAATAATTTACAAGCTACGAAAGATAAATATAAAACAGCCCACAAATGCTTGTATACGATTAAAGATCACCCCTTTCATATAAAAATAGACGAAAAATGATAAGAGAACGAAGTTTTAAACACTACACATGCGACAAACGATAAAAAAATGGAAGCTTCAATCAGATTTTCAATCGAAAGCCAAAAAAATCCGACAACAAAGAACAATTACAACTTTACTTATAAAGAAAGGCAAAAAAGTTTGACATGCCTGAAGCAGCAAGCAGGTGGAGCGAGAGAGTAGGTGATTCCTTTAGAAGTGTCTCAATTTATATAGAAGATATGTAAGAGGATGCAAAACCCTACGAGGTTTATGGCTGTGTGAAGACTACTTTTTACTACAAAAACGATAAATTTTGAGATTATCAATTGAATTAAGAAGTAAATTATCAATTGGTCATATTTCGTACACTAAAAAGAGAACACACTACCATGGAGGACGGAGATATACCGTGGGGTGCAGTACCAAGTAAGACGAGAAACAATCTACAAAAGAAGAAGAGAGTACTACGGTCAAGGCAACATTGTGGAGGAGATGACGGAAACAACGACTACACATGGATGGCTTTTGACGCTGATGAAGGAGAAGAAATATGAAGTCTACTATGCTAATCAGATTATGGAGTTGAAAGAACTCAAACCTACTGATCTAGACACCAATCAAGGTAGGCTCTTGCTGCCCAAACATGTCGATAGATGTTTTCTTAACGACGATGAACTAGAAACCCTAGCTAAAATTCCCAAGAAAGGGGTAATTTCTATGTTTTTTATAACAGAGTTTGTTATTGAGTTGAAAGACTGGCAAAATGGACTGGTGTTAACCAATGGATGGGGTAACGTGATTCGCAAGGAAACAAGAATGATAAGCTTTGTTTCGCTCTCAATGACACTAACCAAGTCGAACAAATCCTTCCCAACGTTGACAATAAAGATGATGTAAGTCTGATTCTTGAAAGTTTTTTTTGGTAGGGTTTACTGATTTTGTGTAACACATCCTTGTGTTTAATTGATGCAGAAGTTAAGTGGGTGAAACGATACAAAAGAAGGTTCAAATGAATATGATACTCATGAATCTACTTCATTCAGTAAGTCATCAGTTATTTGTATTATATGTATTGAAACATAACGAGTTAGCTCTGCAGTTTTACAGAATTAAGTTTGTAGTAGTAGTAGCAGTGCCGGCTCTTACCCATGGCAACATGACATTTGCCATGGGTTCAGAATTTTTGTTGTTGTTATTTTATAAGTCCATTCAAATCTGTTAAATTATCAAAAAGATTCATAATTAAGTAAATTTAATTTACTTATTAAAAAATAATTTATACTTTCACCATTATCAACTAAAGATAGAAAAAACGTTTTTATGTGATTGTTTTTTTTTTGGTTTTTAAAAAATTGATATTTTTTCCGATTTGTTTCAGGTCTTATAGCTCAAATTAAAAGAAACGCGGTGAAAACAATATAGAAAATCTTTATAAAAAGGTTTATATTTTATGTTTTGCCAAGGGATATTATATTGGTTAAGACGGCACTCAGTAGTACATACCTTTTTGTATCTGACACATGCATGCGTAGCAACTTAAAGACATGTCATGATCTTAAAGACAGTTAGAGGTGGGTACTCGATATTTTTGGTATACTTAGTACTCGGCTTGGCTTGTACGAGTAGTAATATTTTGACTTGTACTTGGTTTTCTAAAAAATAAGTACTTGCAATTTCAAGTACTTGCAAAAAATTGACGGACTTATAAGTTACTTGACTTATTTTATTACTTGTTACTTGTAAATTACTTATAAAGCCATTCATAATTATTGGTAAATTATTTGATAGTTCATTAGAATTTAAAGTTAAATAAATTTATTATATAAATAATATGTTATTGTTTTCTTGTATTTAAGTCATTCGAAAAATGGACTATATAGGAAAGAAAAAACTTGAAGATGCTTATATAAGTATAACAATTATGTTTGATGAACTTATGAAAAATGAAAATAGAAATGAGTTATTTTACTAGGATTTAAGAAAATATATTTTTCTTCATTAACAAACACAAGTAACAAACAAAACAACGTCAAGTAATTAATTTATTTAATATTTAATTTATACTTATAAGTAATTTAAATAGATTACTTGATATTTAAATTGTTCCTAACAAATACTAACTTTTAAAGATTTTGTATTCATTAATACAACTACAATGCTATAAGCTTTGAGATGTGGCGACAAAATTGTCTTCTTCTGTTGCAGTATATATGTAGTTGCAGATGCCATTTTCATACACTCTGAGTCTGAGTCTACCTATCACTATCGTCTAAATTCATTTCCGACTATAGCCACTAATGTTTTAGTAATCGATATATAAAAAAAACAGCCAGATTACCTGGTCTATAAGATATTTTGGCTAGAGAGCAATGCATATAGTATATTATCTTGACAAAATAAAACAATAGTCTCTGACTCTCTGCTTCAAGTGGTCACTTCTCTCTCTGGCTCACTTGAAATACACAACAGCATATGTTTCAGGAAAAGGGAAACAACAAGAGGTAGCAAGTGTTTAGCACAAGTCAAACGATCTCTCTGCTCAAACAACTCAGACATCCCCAATCTTGTATCACTACCCTTCACATGCTAATATGAACAAGTGTTTGCTATATTTTCTCCAATGGTTATGTCTGCTTATTCTAAGGACTAATTAAGGTGCTTAACATTCAGATGAATGAAACAACCATCTTATAAAAGTATAGAACTCAATGAAAACATATGTTACGGCTCTATCCAAAACGCATACATGTATATATATATAAATGTCAACATGTATTTACTATTCATTAGATATACAATCAAGTAACAAAACTGTCACCAATGAAGATGTTGGTTACTCTATTTAACAAACCTTTAAAGCCTTTTTTTTCTTTCTTCATAGAGAATCTTCAAACAAAAAACCATCAGTGTTGAAGTCTGAATCTATGCCTTCTCTTCCCCTGAACTCACAAAGCCCAACAGCCTTTTCTATAGAGAAATCATTCATCAAAGCAAAGTCATCTTCTAAGAATGTCCTGGACTTGCGTGTCATGATAAGCCTCTTAGGTGTTTTTGCCTCTAAGCCAATCTCACCACTCTCTTCAATAGGTACCACCCTTGAAGATATTTTACTCGATTTCCTCAACCTAGATGGCAAACTCTTGTTCCTCCTCACAATGTTCCTGATAGGCTGTTGTTGTTGGTTCTTGCTGATCTCGGTTTTCTTGTTGATGCTGTTATTGCTTACTGTTCTTTTCAGTTCAGGTATCCTTGTTGGTTTTGAATTTGATCCAGGACCGTTGAACATGAGCTTTCTCTTACACCCTTCTTTGAGATCTAGCTTTCTTGTCTGAAGCTGTGCTCTCATTGTTCTTGGAGAGGTACTTGCACCTTTGGTTCCTATTGATTTCTTTCTACGTGGAGACATGGTGAAATGTTTTAATATATCCTCTGGTGTCCAATCAAACTTCTGCTCAAGTGGCCAGAAAAGCGGCTCCACAACATGCTTTCTCTTTGAATCTCCACTCTCTTCAAGTATGGGTTTAGTAGATGGCTCAACAACCGGTGAAGGAGAAGACACCTCTGACTCTAGTGAGAAGCTAACTTTCTTTTCTTCATGACTAGAAGACTCTTCACATGATCTCCTTCGACCATTCTTGTTGTTGCTCTCAGGTAAACGCGAAGATGAGGACCTTGCAGAACTTGGTTTATTAGATTTACCAGTTGAGTTGCAGAATCTACCATCCTTTCGAATGTTCTCTGAAGAACCTTTTGTCTGGTGAGGATGATGATGATGATTCTCTTTTAGAGACAAAGAAGAGTTAGCAGCATTTGATAACCAAGAGACAACCCTTTCATCTAGTGAGAAATGAAACGAGACAGAGACTCTACGTTCCTCAAGGAGAGAAGTAGTAGAAGCACATTCAGAATCCAACCAAACGGAATCACTGTCGTCAAAATATCTCAGCTTAATAAACTGTTTATTACCAGATGGATCATCAATCTTTTCGCGGCGACGTGGTTGAGGAGAAACACCTGCAGATTTGTTCCTCTTTGAGTTTGCTGCTTTGACATCTTCTGGAAGAGTTTTTTTCCCAAGAGGAAGCCTCATGGGTTCATAGTTTGAACCTGTTGATTTGGACCGTGGAAGAAGTGGTTTGGGATCGTTTGTTGTGGTACTGTTCTTCTTGTTTTTCTTGATGGAGAAAGTTGATGTAACTCTCTTAACGAAACCTTTGGATCCATCTTTCCCACCTGCAAAAGACATGTTGTAGTTTTGCTCCTTTAATCTTCAGAACTAAAGACATACAAAGCTTTTTATTTACTTTTCAAAAGCAGACCGAATCATAACATAAAACACACATTAGCGTGTGATTAGAGATAAAATTCAGAAAGGGTAAATGCAGGACACATTCTTGTCATTTTCTCTGGATAAAAAAATGTCAACTACTTGAAAGATGATATGAGAATAAAAAACTCTATTTAACATTCTTGATGCTTTGATGTTATGAGAATTATGAATAATTTTTTTTTAAAATAATCATCAAAATAAAGAATTGTGACAGACCGAGCACTAAGTTTCAACAACTAAGCTTGAGAAAATAAATATAATATTATAAACCCTAAGAAAGCATTTTGTGACCGTTCAAGAAACAGAGGTCGAAGAAATCAAAATGTAAATACAAAGCTAAAAAAAAACGCAGAAACAAGCTTAGGAGAATGAGAAAGAAGCTTTGTCACCTTCAGCGATTGAACGTCGAAATCTATGCATGTGGAAATGTAAAAAAGACTAAAGGAGAGCGCTGAGAATCGAAAAGACGCAATTTCATTAATTTGGCACTTTGACTAGATCCAATTACAGTCACGTTTTTTGAGATTCTCTCATAATTAAAACATTTTATTAAGGAAACATATATTACATATCATATCAATTAAATGAAACTACATGAATCTATTATGTATAGAATGTTTTCCTTTTTCTAGGAATTCAGAATAATCTTTGAATTTTTTTGAGAATTTTACGCGGCTATCTATTAAGATAAAACTGTGAATTGATCTTTAATTAGAGTCCTAAAGCATTAATAAGCATATTCAACTTTAGCAAAAAAATAAATTAATCATCTTCAACAAAAAAAAAAAACAAAAAAAAAATCATTAAACAAAACGTTGGGCCCATTAGTAAATGGGCCTTGAGCTGAAGTCACTTTCACATCTGATAGTTGTTGTCGCTGTCATGAGAATTTGGTTTATTACTAAATTGATGAACTTAAACCGGTGAAGATCGATTCTGAGCTGCCTCCAACCAACCACAGACACAGACACAGTCGTCGAATCGAAGAAAGCGAAGAAGAAGAAGAAGGAAGGAAGGAAGGAGAATATGGGTGGAGGAATGGAGACGAACAAGAACAAGTTCATCGAGGATTGGGGATCCGCGAGGGAGAATCTCGAGCATAACTTCCGCTGGACCCGTCGCAACTTCGCTCTCATCGGAATCTTCGGCATCGCCCTCCCCATCATCGTCTACAAGGGCATCGTCAAAGACTTCGTGAGTTTCGATTCCATTTGCATTTCCATCTCTCTCTCTCTCTCTCTGAATCAGAAATGATTTGTGCCCTAATTTTGTTTTCATGTTACTTCGAGCTTTAAAAAATTTGGATCTTTATGTTAAAATTGAGATTCTGCGTGTTTGTCTATGGAACGTTTGAGTTTCAGATATGCTTTTTTTCTTCCCTTTTTTATCTTCTTGTGTTTGGGTTTGTTTGACCTATTATTGCCGAAGTAGTTAAAGAGACAAGATTGGTTCTTTGTCTCCCTTTTAATCTTGATGGGTTTAGCTATAACTAGTTCGTCTGCTTCTCTATGTAGTTATTATATACTTAGTCTGAGTCTGAATCTTTGCACTTTATTTGCTTCTGGAGTTTTTTTAGTTAGTTTATGTTAATCTGAGTGACAGATTTACGTGATTGATGCTCTATGTCATTGCTTGTTAGTGCAAATTTCAGTGACCAAAGTACGTTGTGTTTTGTTGTATCGTGCTCCCACATCATTAGAGTCAAAAGCTCACATACTCAAAACTTGATTTTTTTTTTTTTTTGACAGCATATGCAAGACGAAGATGCAGGCAGACCACATAGAAAGTTCCTCTGAGCTTGTTTGCAGCAACAAACACTCTTCTGCAAAATATCTCAGCAGTTTGATTTTTTCAAGATGCTGATACCTTTCTTTATTTTTGCATTTTATTCAGAATAAAAGAACATCTGAAGGATTATAATTTCTGTGTCGGAGAGTTTGTTTTGATTGGCAAATAAACAAAAACTTAAGGTCACCCAATTTGACACTACTTTTGTGGAGTATGCAGCATTTTGCAAGTTATTGATAGCTTTGAGGCAGACACCAAAAAGAAATAAAGTGACCCCCATGAGCGGGTTAACTACAATGCCACAGTTCGAGTCTTGAGAACATGACTCTTATCAGCTATCAAATAGAAACTTATTGATGATAATAATCAATCAAACTCATTGATATTGCTCAATAGTACCTCCCCTAGATTAAGAAAACCAGAAACGAGACCAATTCTTTTTACTATAATGGGGCTGATTTTAGTTCAGTTGAGAAGGAGTTACTTACCTTAATATGAAGTTACCATGACGAAATTTCTACAGTGAAAAAATAGACTGTTGACAGTGGGATTTGAACCCACGCCCTTTCGGACTGGAACCTTAATCCTGCGCCTTAGACCAACTCGGCCATATCAACAAGTTGTTAACTGCGTTGAAACTATGCTTATTTATTATCATAGTTCTGCGCCTTGGATAAACTTGTCCATGTCAATCTGCTGGCATAACTCTCCAAATATTTAACAGATTCAGACATTCAGTTATCTAACACACCTTTTAAAATATCCAAATTTTTCATATTTTTAGATTTTAGTCGTTCAATTGGTCAATGTTTTAATATATGAAATTTTAACAGATTTCTAAATAAAATCTCTTAAAGACTATAAATAGACTGTTTGAGTAATAAAAAAAATGACTAATAAAAAACTCAGTGATAAGCTGCGTATGGGAATTTTTTTTTTTTTTTCTTTTGAAACGTATGGGAATATTTATTTAGAAAAATTTAAAGAGAAAAGATAATTGGATAAGCATGTCTTGATCTTTAGACAGAGGAAAATGGCGGGAGGAGAAAAACATAAACACCGGCTTCTATGTTATAAACTTGACCAATCAGAGACTGTCATAACCAAATATAGAAAGCTTTCTCCATCCATCCAATCTTTTTTGTTTATCTTCTCTCAATCTTCCTATCTTTTAGGACTTCCTCTTTCTTCAAATAAACAACAAAATAAACTTAGAAAACACGAAAAAAAGAAGAAATCAAAAGAAGAGAGAAGTCCAAGAACCAAAAAAAATAACCTAGAAAAAAAGAGAGAAGAAACTTGAGCACAAAGCTTCTCTCTTCCTTCCCATGGGGTGCATTTGAATACATTTCTTTCTTGAAAAAAAATCGCTTTTGATCGATTCTAATTCATCGATCATTCGTGGTTCTGTTGGATACTAAAGAAAACCCAAATCCCATGGGAAGCTGTGTTTCATCTCCATTGAGAGGTTCTCCCTTTAGGAAGAGACCAAGAAGAAGAAACAGTAGTAAGACCAAATCATCATCTAATCCTAAAACAGATTCTTCTTCAACTAATCTTTCTCGGAGACTGATTTTTCATCCACCGAGCCGTGTTCTTCCTGAACCTATTGGAGATGGAATCTTCCTCAAATATGAGTTGGGGAAAGAATTAGGCCGTGGTGAGTTTGGTGTCACTCATGAATGTATTGAGATCACTACTCGAGAAAGGTAATCTCTTTTATATATATATTTCCTTAAAGTTTTGAGTCTTTTTATTGAAAGACTACGATGATACTTGATCCTGAAAAAATAATAATACTCATAAACTGCATATAAACTTCTAAATGGAGATATATAAGAGCATGATTAATCCGAGATTCTTAAAGCAGGCAGAATTTAAGAAACTGTTTCTTAATTTTTAACTAAAAAAACTAAGAATTGGTTCTTAAAGTACTTAAGAACCGGTTCTTAGCGTTTTTAGTTAAAAGTTAAGAAACCGTTTCTTAACTTCCGCTAAGAACCCCGTCCTAAGAACTCCGGGTTAATCATGCTCTAAAAAACCATAAAAACCCTAAAACAGTAAAAGTAGTTGAAAATATTTTTCAAATATTTTGTTTGATTCAATGAAGAAATAAAAACCTGGCAGGTTTGCGTGTAAGAGGATATCAAAGGAGAAGCTAAGGACGGAGATAGATGTTGAGGATGTAAGAAGAGAGGTTGAGATCATGAGAAGCTTACCAAAACATCCAAACATTGTCAGTTTTAAAGAAGCTTTTGAGGACAAAGACGCCGTTTATCTTGTAATGGAGATTTGTGAAGGAGGAGAGCTTTTTGACCGTATTGTCTCTAGAGGTCATTACACTGAACGTGCTGCTGCTTCTGTCGCTAAAACCATTCTTGAAGTTGTCAAGGTGTGTAAAAAAAAATTCAAATCTCTTTGTATCTTATTTTCCCGCCTTTATTGTTGTTTCTTGCTTGTCAAGGTATGTCATGAACATGGAGTGATTCATAGAGATCTTAAACCTGAGAACTTCCTCTTCTCTAACGAAACCGAGACTGCACAACTCAAAGCTATTGATTTTGGTCTCTCAATTTTCTTCAAACCTGGTACTAACCACATCTCTATAGTCTAACATCATAAAGTTTGCGTGTTTTATGTTATCTTCTTGAAGACAAACTCTGTATGAATCTAATGGATATTGCAGGTCAACGGTTCAACGAGATTGTAGGAAGTCCTTATTACATGGCTCCAGAGGTTTTGAGACGAAACTATGGTCCTGAGGTAGATGTTTGGAGCGCTGGTGTTATACTCTACATCTTGCTATGTGGTGTTCCTCCCTTTTGGGCAGAAACTGAGGAAGGAATCGCCCATGCAATCGTGAGAGGAAACATTGATTTCGAGAGAGATCCTTGGCCAAAAGTCTCAGCTGAAGCCAAAGAGCTCGTTAAGGACATGCTTGATGCAAACCCTTATAGCAGACTCACAGTTCAAGAAGTTCTTGGTAACTTAAACGATAAATAACATTTCATTTTCGATATAATAAGATTAATAAAACCACATTATTTGATATAAAAAAACTATGTTTTGTAGAACATCCATGGATCCAGAACGCAGAGAGAGCACCAAATGTGAATCTTGGAGATAACGTGAGGACCAAGATTCAACAGTTCTTGTTGATGAACAGGTTCAAGAAGAAAGTCCTCAGGGTATATAAACTTTCTTGACTGCAACAAACATCTCTATAAGTTTTGTTACTGATCAAGAAATGAATCTTACAGATTGTAGCTGACATTCTACCAAACAAGGAGATAGAAGAGATAGTACAGATGTTTCAAACGATGGACACTGACAAGAACGGTCGCTTGACATTCGAGGAGCTAAGAGATGGTCTAAAGAAGTTAGGACAAGTTTGTCCGGATGACGATGTGAAGATGCTAATGGATGCAGCGGATACAGATGGGAATGGGATGTTGAGCTGTGACGAGTTTGTGACACTTGCAATACATTTGAAGAGAATGGGTTGTGATGAGCATTTGCAGCAAGCATTCAAGTATTTTGACAAGAATGAGAACGGATTCATCGAGCTAGATGAGCTCAAGGAAGCTCTGTTCGATGATGATAAGCTAGGCCATGGTGGTGATGAGTGGATCAAAGATATCTTCTTTGACGTTGACCTCAACAAGGATGGACGGATAAGCTTTGATGAGTTTAAGGCCATGATGAAGTCAGGGACAGACTGGAAAATGGCGTCGAGGCAGTACTCTAGGGCGTTGTTGAATGCTTTGAGCATTAAGATGTTCAAAGAAGATGGTGGGAACAATGGTCCTAAGTTTCATTCCATGGAGTTCCCTGTAGCAAAGAAGAAAGATAAGATACTTGATCCCAAGAACAAGTCAATGGAGCTTGTCCACTCCAGAACATATAAACCCTCAGGTCTAAGAAACTAAAGAACAAAAAAATGAAAAAGAGACAGATCTCTTTGTTATTCTTTTGAATCTGTTTGATTTTAGAGCTGCGAGTGACAAAGAACATTTGAGGTTAAAGTTGCATTGCACAACAGGAAGATAAAAACAGAAGAGAGCATAGAAACTTCATTTTATCAAAACTGTTGAGCTTTAAACAAGTAGAACCTCTTGTATCACATTTGAATATATAGTTTGATAATTAAACAACCAAAAGATTCAATATAAAAGTTATTCATCCAATGTAACTTGAATTCATTATTACAAACAGAGAATAGCCAAGTGAAGCCAAACACAAAGCAGGCACCATTTGTTTGAAACCAGACACTGGATCACTAGATTTGGTTCATAGAGATTGTCATAGCAGAGCAGAAGACAGAAGTAAAGTTACAATGTGTGTACAGATAACACATACATATTCTTTTACACTATACATAAGCAGGAAACTTATCACAAACCCTACATTCCAAACCCGCACACACACACATAAGAGAAGAACTGGACCTTTTCACTATGTGAGTGCAGTTTATGGGTTTAACTTTGATCGTCTTCATTCTCCAAATGTCCAAAGAAACAGCTGGAAGTAATCTTAAGACCAATTCAGTTTTTGTACCTTGACGAAGACATCATATATATTAAGATCCACCAGTTCTGGAACTTCCTTTGCCTTTACCTCTTGTTTTGCTACTGCAACCTGTTGATTTAGAGCTTGTTGATTTAGAGCTGCAAGCTGCGTGTGAGTCTACATCAGCAAGACCGTTCTCCAGAGCTTTCACCAAATTCTCAAAGTAGTTTTTCGTTACGCTGCAAAAATACAACAATAAAAGCACAGGTTTAGTTTCCCACAAGATGTGAATGGCGTTTACAAGCAGAGATTCTTGTTAGAAGTCTGGACTAGGTCAGAAAGCTACTTCAGAAAACTACCACAGGACCTGAACAACATGATAGATGTATGAAGAGAAAAACGCTAACCTGGTCAAACCAGCTAGTTTTGTCCGAAAATCGTTGAAATCTTTTGATGGGCCATCTGCGTTGAGAAATTGAAGCAAGTCCTTCTCTACACATTGATGGAGCCTCTCCAAACCTGACTCAGCTTCCCCTGAACAATACCACAAAGTTAAGCTGCTTCTGAGACAATGGACAGATATTACCCAGCACAACGTTTCACACAAGAGTCAAGAGTTTACTGACCTTGCAAATACTCGAAAAATTGTCGTTTGGCATGTTCATGATCGGGTAGGTAGTATCCATATGCATATGTCCATTTCAAGACTCGCCTACATTCGATGATCTGCAGTGTTAAAATCGCATGAGAAACTATTATTAAAAATGCTATGGAAGATTCTTCACTTGGTTATCTAAACACTTTTATCTGCTCACCTGAAGCCAAGCTTCTAAGATGAATTTGAGCTGTGATTCTGGTGTGCACTGTTTATCACTAAGCTTCTCAAGCTGGAGAACATAAGTCAAATGTAGATAGCAGAGTATAAGTAATGAATAATGTAATTTGCTGCAGATTGAGAATAACAATTCTTACATTATGCGTCTGCAATTGCTGCAGATCCGTCATAGCCTTTTGCCTCGACTGCCAAATCACACAAAAATAAAGAAGAAAACAAAATCAATGATGAAGAGCTACACAACCTCCTTAGGCATAAGAAGTATAGCATTGTGCATACCGTTTGATTGCTTGCCCAGCGTTCATAATAATGTGTGTATCTCTCTAGTGAATTTTTCGCCATCTCTCTCCTCCTTTCAGTCTCATCATACTAACCAAGGAAAGATGAACAAAACATCATTAATCAAAAACTTCAGCACAATATAACTGAGAAAATGTAACAAAGGATCAAACAATTACCCCAGGTCTTACCTGGCCTTCTTGCTTGGCCACCTCGTACCGGTTACAAGCATAAAAACCACCAGTTCTTTCCCCATGATCCATCCACGCACCAAGACAAAGCCTATAGGTATAATAAAATACAAACTATCATTAGTGTTTCTGGTACTTCTGTCGCAAGACTAAAAAGTAAGGCGTTGAAGAGAACACACTTCTACTGCAAAATTGCAGAGAAAGTAGAAAAAACGAAAATAAGATCGTTGTTAGTTAGAGATGGAGATGAAGCATTACCAACAAAATTCATATTTACAAGGCGGTGTGCATGTCATATGCATACAGCCCTGATTCTTTTCAATTGGCCGCTTGCATCTAGGACAAGGCTTTGAATTGGCAAGTATCCTGCGCAAAAGGAGGCAAAGTAGGATTAACAAGAAATATAAGAACTCAGAAGGTGAAATATAATTCCCTCTGTGTAAAAGCCAAAGAACAAGGATCAAGAACGCAAGTAAAGGATAAAAATATAGTGTATACCAATTCATATTTTCAGATTCAGCACTGTTCTTTAATATCCATTTTGACACTGTGCTACAATCCACAGGTCGGTGAGCCTCTTCTGTGCACTAAAATTCAGATTTACACACAGCTATTGATCAACCAAAAGAACAAGAAAAATTAGGAGTAATCAAATTAATGGGTTTTGACCAAAGAACTTACATTCCAGCAGAAGCTAAACGAGCAAAGGCAAGAAACATCATAGTTTCCAGACCCAGCAACAAAATCAATCGCATATTCACACCCTGGGGCAGGACACCATTTCATCTGAACAAGATAACCGAAGCAGATGCAACATCAGGGTTTAAGCTAAGTATAAAGTCGTTAAATATAGTTCGAGAGCATGTAAGACATAATGTAAATATGAGAATGAACACGTTCCAACAACACTGGTAACATGTTACAAAGGCTAAGTTCATTTTGAAATTCAACCCCTAGCCTGGGCGATGAATAATGGTATTATGAAAATTATCTAGGTAGTCTTTACCTTTCTGTTGTCTTCAATATAAGACCTAAGAAAATATCTATTATATTTCTTCTTATCTTCTTCAGATACTAATTTGTCAACCATATCATGACCAACAGCAGCTAGACAGGATGGGTCAGGACATCTTAACATCAAACATCCCGGGCCATCATTAATGGTTGTGCTGATGTAAGCTGCAAAAACGTACGTTGTAAAAGGTAAGTTACCGCCCAGGATATATTTTAGTGGAAAACGGAGTACAAAAGTTGGTTTCAAAACAATCAAAGATGGAAGATTCTGAAATTAACGAGCTGCATCAAACAACTAAATCTAACTCGGTTGAATACAAGGAAACAATTTAAACTAGTGAGTTCCATTCTTGGAGATGTAAGAGTTTGGAGGATATGTGGTTGTGCAAATGAAAGAAAAAAATATATACAACGAACCTGTCCAGCAGGTTGTGCAGAAAGGATGGCCACAAGAAACTGAAGCAATTTTCTCAGGAGGGTATAAATCAAAACAGATTCCACATGTAAGCTAAACAGCAGATCATGTGTCAGTAAGATATGAATAATCAAGCGAGAGAAAAGAAAAAAAACCACTTCAGATTCTACAATTCAAAGGACATACTTCTGAGTCATCAGATGGTGGAACAACAGGTCTCTCCAATATGCCCACAGTATTCCGGACTCTCTCTTCATCCGCAAACCATTCATCATGAACTTTACCAACACTCCTGAAATGAGAAGTTTCGTATCACATCAGGAAGCTAAGATAATCACAGGTATGACACAGATTTACATTCTAGAATAAAAATAGAGATTGTTTGATATTATTACCAAAAAACAAAAAAGTTTTCACCAAATAAGTTGAAGATAAAACAAGGAAGCAGATATATATACAAATGAAAGATGAGAAGCAATAGTGGTAATATCAAACAGAAAATGTCAAAGGCGTTTTACCAGTGAAAGTAACGAAGCAGAATACTTGCTTCGACTTCAGTTATTGAGAGGACGACAGAAACTCGGTCAATAGCATCCTTCTGGTGCCTGAGAATATCTTCTTCCCTCAAAACACAAAAGTTTTTCTGGAAGGAAACCATATCACAACAACCATGGATCAATGGTAACACAAGAATAAAAGTAGATGATTAACTAAAATCAAACAAAGGGACATGACCCTAAAATATCACGCGTTAAACATAAAAGTTCAAGCAAATTAAGTCGTTAACAATGCAATTATAGAGAGAATTAAAAGCTAGAGCAAAGGAAGGCCACAAACAATCTGACAATTCAACAATAACCACACCACAAAACCAGTATTATAAGACCATGACTTAACATTACTACACTAGCTTCTATACTAAAGTGGTACTTTATAAACGACAACGAAAAAAAGAAGACCAAAACCGGTAACTGAACTTAAAGCACCAAAGAATAGCCTGCACACATAAGAGAAAAGTCTTTTCCAAAAATGTAAAAGATAGCATTTATGCTTCCACCAAGTACTATAAAAGTAATGTGTGGGAATGGGAAACAAAGAAAAAGTTTACATATGAGTTTGGAAGCAGGGTAACAACAGCACAAACCTTTAACAAATATACCAAACTGCAAACTTTCCATAATGTTTTCAAATAAACTCGAGATATTCACTAAAACCCTAAAAATATCAGCACAATTCCATAAATAACACTACTTTTCCTTCCTTCAACCCTTCGTTAAAAGACTATGGCATGAAAAGTGGGAAGCTATTATCCTTTGATGAGCTAAACACTCCCCGATTAACAACAAAAGCGGTAACAAAACTTATAATTAACAAGCCAAAGTCCCGAAGTTATTGAGTGAAGTAATCAACGAAACGTTACTACAAACTTTGCTAAACTCAATTAGACTAAACTCCAAAGTAAAAACTGAGAATTTTTATCAAAGAAAGCCCATCAAAGATTCAAAATTTAGCAGCAAAACATACACAAAAATTTGTAAAAGAATCAATAACTTAAACAACAGAACAAGAAAATCAACCTGAGAGCGATGGGAGGCGATCATGGCGGAATCATCAGCATCTTCCTCAACAAACCCGTAATCGGGTTCTTCGCCATCATCATCACCATCACTATCCTTGTAATCATCGCTGTAGAAATCATCCTCTCCTGAATACATATCGTGCGCATCGAGCATGTCCTCGTCGGAATCCATGATACAGAGATGAAACCCAAATGATAAAAGAACCGAGATTTATGAGAATTAGGTGAAACCCCTCTTCTCCTTCAAAATTAGGGTTTGGTCGGAGAGAGAGACAATCGTAGAGGGGGAAGTAGTAAACTGAGATGAAATGTGGGTTTTAGTTTGGTAATGAAATGATAAAAAGTATCCAAAGTTTGCTGTCTTAATCCAAACCAAGACCGGATCCGTACGTTAATGATCTAAAAAGTAGATTAGACAAAGTAATCATTTTTATTTGTTTTATAAGTTTGGACAGTCTTAAATTTAGATTAAATACTTATCTTAATTTAAAATTTAGACCAAAGTTTTTATCTGAAAAATTAGAATACTTTTGATCCAAAAATTATATAACTGTATCATACACACGTTATTCAATAATTAGGATGGTGACATAGTGTCAACATTCGTTCAATAATTTAAAACAATTTAATAAATAGACGGTTTATTACCACTATTCTTACAAAAATATATTTATTTTATATTTGAAAATCTTAACACGTTAAATAAATAAATCATACGTTTGGCCCTAGTCGAACTGTGTTCTCAGCACAAAGATGAGGATATGAGCAGGGCCGGCCCTCGGCAATGCCTAGTGAAACATTTGTTTCAGGCCCCCAAAAATTTTGTAGAAAATTACATGAGTATAGGCCCAAAAAAGAAATTTTAGACCCCCAAATATTTTTTTTACATAGAAATCGCCACAGATCCCAAAATCTCAGGGATTACTCCTCAAGAGTCACAGTACATTGACATTTCATACAGATGCTTTGGACTGGATATGAGTAGGGATGAGATAGGCCAAAGTCTTTTAGAAATATAGGTTTCTTGATTTTGTTCGCATAATTTTCAGTACTCAACAGCGCAGCAGGGAGGTTCTTTAAGAGCAGAGATAAGGAGGAGTTTGTTTGTAAGGGCTGTATTGCTTGCATTTAGCCGTGTTGGATATTTTATGCCTTTACCTGGATCCAACAAAACATTAATACCTCAAGATTACCTTAGCTTTGTTTGGTTAGTGCTCTCATGCCATTTGAGTCCTATAAACCCTTGTGTCTTGCTTCTTTGTGTTGTTATTACTATCTAAAGCTGTCTGGTAAATTTTAGCTCTTGTGACTTGTGTGCTTCATTAAATAATTTACCAAATCTTTGACTCTCAGCTTCCACACCCCCCCCCCCCCCTTTTCAATCGAAATGTCAATCTTCCATGGATATTAAGCATTTTCACATACCAAATTACTTGTTTTGTTATGTAGGCCAACTTGCCAAATTATTTAAACAAAATGGGCGGAAGAATACCAAACACCTAAAGCCTGGGAAAGCCACGATTGTGTACCTAACGAAGATACAAGTATCAACCAGAGTTTGGGGTGGGTAAAATAATTGTTGTTTTATATACTTATTGCAATGTATATTTATATATAAATATTACAAATGATTGTGGTTTAGAGTTTTTGTAGTTTTTTTTGTTTAGATTATGTTAGATGATTTCTGCTAAGGATCAAAGCACATTAACATCATAATGTTAGCATGAAAATTCATAGGCTCGAGTGCCAAGTATCTACTTTAAGAATCTACCAATAACATTTTCATTTTTTTTTTTTTCAAATCGTGTTGTGTTAAGCCGCGATACGCTCACGGATCTGAGTATCAAGCAAGTCTCCTATGTAATTATAGGTAGCTTGCGATGGATGGATCGAGTCAAAAAACAAAAACTCCGAGTGATTCTCACATTTTGGAGAAAGAACATTACACATGAAGCTCGTCTCCAGAAACCCTGTTCCACAACATCCTCTCTTTGTCTCCTTAAACCCTTTTAAATAAAATAAAAATCCACATGAGTGATCACAGATATTATCTTATATGGAAAACTTGCGAAACATGAAAAGTTTGTGAGTATACGTACCATATTTGCTAGGGTTTTGCATCATGTCATAGATAGGGTTATATATATCGGCGTAAAGGATCTTGCTTCCGGTAAGAGATGCTTGGATCTGATGTAATTGCTTTTGAAGTTTCTCATTGTATACCACAGAGTCTTTGTTCTCTTTTTCTAAGCAGAACCTAAAGATGTTGCGGAACTTAGCTGTCATTTGAATCGGTAAACAACCAATAGGAGGTAAACCTGCGATCACAATATTCCTGCAACCTAAACTATATAGCTCCTGCACACACACACACAAGGAAAACTTATCAAAGGCTAGTCAAAAACCTTAAAGTTATTTCCATAATGAGTTTCTAATTTTTTTTTAAAAGTAACTATTTATAAGCTTTAGTCTAGGATTTACGATTTACAAAAAACAAATTGGGGTTTCAATTTTAAAAATCTAAGTGTAACTTATGAACTAGTATAATATATCTATTTATAAATATTTGTAAACTATTAAGTCCGCACATGCGGGTAAAACAACTAGTCTTGTTAATTTGAAAATAATAGATTATAATATGAATCTGATATGGAATTAGCATTTCTATATATGCACATCAAGTAACTATTAATAAGCTTTAGTCTAGGGTTTACGATTTCAAAAACAAACTAGGGTTTCAAATTTATGTTTAGGTTATATACTAGTATTTTGTTACTTTGGAAATAATAGATTATCATACGAATTTGATATGGAATTATCATTTCCGTGCACAACAAGAAATGTTGCTATAGTTTGAAACGTTACCCCGATGAGGTTGTCAAGCCTCTTAAGTATAAAGTCTTGGTAGCTAGAGACATGATGATACTGAAGACGCCTCGTAGGAATCGTGTAATAGTTCAAGATCATATCGTTAGTCCCTGAGCTTATAACAACCAAAGCATTGTTTATAATCTCCACAGCTTTCTTGTCTCCCACGATACTCTTAAGACGAGCAATGTAATCCTTGAACATATTAGGTTGTTCCGAGACAGGAATCGCCTGAGTAGAGAGACTGGTTAGGTCATCATAACCGGCACCAGCTGATGCAAAACATACACCGGTTAGGATCTCTTGGTCTGAGAGATTTGGTTGTAAGAAAGGAGGAACAAGCTGTTTGATATTGTATTTGGTTGCGAGTATGTCGGGGATTAGTTTTCCGTTTGAGAATCTCCCGTTGGCTTCGTGGTTTGGGAGATCAATGCCGTAAGGAAGATGTGTAGCTCTGAAGAATGTGTTTATAGGGTAGTTGTTGTTCCCTGTGTCCACGGTTGAGTCGCCGAAGATTAGAATCGCAGGGAATAGCGGTTTCGTTGTGGCGTTTTCTGCTGCGTTGCATGACGCGAGTAGTGTTGTTGCGGTGAAAAGAATGAAGGTTATGGTTTTAATTGTTGACATTTTGTTTTTGTTTTGATTTAACTTGGAATGTGTGTAGTGATGGATTTTATAAAGAGTTTTGAAGGTGAGTTTTCTTTTTGTTGGATCTTGTTGGATTTTTGATAATAGTGTTGTGTTTTTTTTCCTTTTTCTGTAAAACAAAGGGATAAACAGCTTTGAATTTAATTCATAGTCTAAATAAAGATTAACCTATAAACTGGAAAAGAACAGATGGCAAAGCAAACACGATTTTTAATTCGTTAGTAGAGCTGTTTAACAATTGATAAGATGTGTAAAGAGAATTAAAAAAAATCCCTATGATCTGTAACAGGAATACAATATTGAATTTAACATCTTTACAAAGGTAAGCGGTTTAATAGTCCTTTTTTTATTGATAAACTGAAATCTGATACAAACCTCAAAGTCATAAACTGACAGTTTAAACGGATTACGGATAGAGCATCCGTAATGACGGATCCTTGGAGAGGAATCCTTAGAAGAAAAAAAATGAGTATTTTGGATTATATAAGGATATTTCAGATTTTTTTTTTAAAAAAAAACTGACCATTCACGGACCGCCACGTAGACAGTGCATCCCACAAATAGTGTAAGGATAAAATCCTTAAATGTACATAGAACCCATTGATTATAAAATTAATATTTCCGTAAGGATTCTCCCTAAAAACTCCTTATTGCGAATGGTCTAAGACATATTTCAAACATAAATAAACATCTAAACACATAAAACAACCACACATGATAAAAACTAAAATTAATTTTCAGCTTTATTTATCCCAAGCAGTCTTTTTTTATTTGCTTCAAATCTTCTAAAATCCAGGGTCCCATATTGTAAATGTCTTAATAAATTGCCTCAGTCTAATGGAACCACGGGAATATATATATATATACAACGGTTTAACAAATTCAGAAAAAAAAACGAAATCAAATACCAAACTGACATTTGACTGTTCCCGTTTTAGAAAAGAACTTAAGTTACTATCAGTTACAAAACCTTTGGCTCAAGAAGTTGTTGAAATTTTGTGATCAGATTTGTATGTCAACGTATTTCCATGTAGTTTACACACACAGTAATCAATATTATTGAAGAAAACTGATACTGCATTTGCTAATGGGCCGAATCTCAGACAATGGGCTACTTTTAATAACAAATGGGCCACAGACGAGCCAGAGAAACCCTAGTTCCAACTATATCTTCTAAATTAGTTGCCGCTCATCGTCCCTTTCTCTCCAGCGTTTTGCACAACTTTTTAGCAACCGGCAGACTTCAACCTCTTCTTCTACAACATGGCGACGCAAATCAGCAAGAAGAGAAAGGTGAATATTCACTTGATCCTTTTTTTTTTTTTTCCTATGGATTTCTATCGATGCGTCATGTTTTGAACCGTTTTGTGTTGAGTTTCTGTAGTTTGTAGCGGACGGAGTGTTCTACGCCGAATTGAACGAGGTTCTGACTAGGGAGCTAGCGGAGGATGGTTACTCTGGCGTGGAGGTTAGGGTTACTCCAATGAGGACTGAGATTATCATCAGAGCCACTCGTACTCAAAATGTTCTCGGTAATTTTTCTGTCTAACCTTCCTTTTGAATTGAAAGGTTAGGACTTTTAAGTGTAGAGATCTCATAAGGATGGTTGTTGATAGGTGAGAAGGGGAGGAGGATCAGGGAGTTGACATCACTTGTTCAGAAGAGATTCAGATTCCCTCAAGACAGTGTTGAGCTTTACGCTGAGAAGGTGGCCAACAGAGGTCTCTGTGCCATTGCTCAGGCTGAGTCTCTCCGTTACAAGCTTCTCGGTGGTCTTGCTGTTCGCAGGTAACTACGTGTCTCCCCTGTTCCTTTCTAGTGTGTTTTCTACTGTTTGATTGTTTATTTGATCTTGAGATAATGAGGTTGCTAGCTTGTTACACCATATGGTTATAGTTAGGTGCGTTACATAATTGTTAGGATAAAGTTTATAACTTTAGGCGTTGAGAATTTTTGGTGAGAAATGTTAATATATGCGCATCCCGTGGAATCATATTCATGAAGATCTTACAAAAACCTTTCTTGGACACTCTACATAAGTTAATACTCTTTAATTTGGTAGCATTGGTTTATGGTTCAAGCTAGGTTTTGCCTGCTGCTTAGTTTATATTGAGCACTGTTTTCTAAGTCTTTGATACTCTTATTTCTTAACAAAAAGCAGGATGTTAATATTGCAATGATGTTGTCTTGTATAGGGCTTGCTATGGTGTTTTGAGATTCGTCATGGAGAGTGGAGCTAAGGGATGTGAGGTGAGGACAAAAAAAACTCCTAAATTCTTTTTTTTTCCCTCCACAAAATTATTCTGAGACATTGTTAAATTCAAATGCTTTTGCTCTCAGGTTATTGTGAGTGGAAAGCTCCGTGCAGCACGTGCCAAGTCCATGAAATTCAAGGACGGTTACATGGTTTCCTCTGGTCAACCTACCAAAGACTACATCGACTCTGCAGTCAGACATGTTCTGCTTAGACAGGTGAGAGTTTCTTCTTCTGACTTCTTTGGTTGGGTAAAGTAAACCGGCAAGCAATGTCTGATTCCGGTCTGGTTACTTAAACCTCAAATGTATGTGCAGGGTGTGCTTGGAATCAAGGTCAAGGTCATGCTTGACTGGGACCCTAAGGGCATAAATGGACCAAAGACACCATTGCCTGATGTTGTCATCATCCATGCCCCCAAGGAAGAAGAATTCAACTCTGCACCTACTCAGGTTGCTGCCCCGGCTGCTCTTTTACCCGAGGCAGCCCTCACAGCTGTAGATTACCCTGAGATGATCCCTGTCGCCTAGAAAGAAGAACTCTTTTACTACTACTATTCCATTTGATTTTGTTCTATTTTTTGTTCTTGGAATCAGACAGACACCTATCGAAATCATGTTTTTTAAATTATCTCAAGTTTCCAGTGTGAAAGTCTTTTGGATCCAAAAATTAATTTCTGTTTTGGAAATAAGATAAACCTATTAACTTTATTTCTTTCTTTCTTTTTTCATTTCCTTGCAACCTTCAAACCAGTTTGAAGCTAAGCTATAAATCCATTAATTATCATATAGAAAATTGTATAGCCTTCAAGTTGCTGTCTGGCTCATGTGCTTACAAACTCATCACAAGACTTTTAGCCAGATAATAAATCCCTTGCTTTAACCACTCAGATCTGTTAGGGATTAATGTCTTTTTCACATTAAATAGTGATTCTTGAAAATGTTATGTATGTGATTTAACCACTTTGAATCTATATATATAAAGTAAAGTTCATTCCCTTTTGCTCAGCCACGTCAACAAATAGTGTAAGGAGAATGCGACATGTGGCAGTACACAAATTAATTTTACACTTCCGTTTAACGTTTTTCTCTCACTAAGCTTCTAAAACTAAATATTAATTTGCACTATAGGGAATTTGTCAAGTGGGCTACTAATACAAGAGCCCAACAACACCTCCCTTCATTTCCAAGATCTGCGACAAACAGCCTTCTAGAGTTGGTGTCGTTCTTGAACTGCTGTTTTTTTTTACCAACAATGGAGATCCGGCAGGGTTACGGGGGATGATTATTTCTGACCAATCTTGGGTAAATGCAGTTGTCCGTGTTGAATCATCTGCCGTTCTTCTCACTTGCTATGGAAAACCACCGCCGTTACGGAATCCGACTGCTTACAATCATTTTCATTAACGTTTTAATTAAATCAGTCTCCCACACCTTCCATGATTTCTCTTTCAATGCATCCTCTTTCCTTCCAGTACGTGAATCTGCAGATATAAATTAGTGAGTTTGTGTCCATAAATTTCAGTATTCAGAGTTATATAAACTTAGAAGTTTTTCTCATGCGATAGTATGACGAACTACTCTATCCTCCGCGCTGCCTTGGATGTGTCGCTGTTAGATCCACAGGTGCTGGAAAGGATCCGAAGGATCTTTCACAGGATATTCAAGAAGTGAGATTGATACTCATGAGAACTAAGGAAAAAACACAAACAATTTTTTTTAATGAGAATTGAAAAGATGTTAGTTATCTTCTTTTCTTTCACTTTTTCTTATGGGGTTAGCTGCTATGTATTTTTCACTTAGACTGACTCTGTTTGGATTATTGTTGTGTTCCTTATGTTTAACAATCCAAATTGTTTATCAATCTTAATATTATATCTGATTTTGTTGAGTTTAAAGAAATAGAAAGTTACATAGATTTCTTGCCTATCATTGTCCTTTCTCTTGCTCTCACATTTAACCCTTCTCCGGTAATGATGCTGTTAATTGCTTTTCCCAGTGAACTAATCTTATTACTGTGAGGTGAATCGTTATTTCTTCTCCTCTTCTGTGGTTTTTGGTTTTCTGTGAACTGACCAATATGTCTTTGATTTGGTTTTTGTGTAGAGTTTTTGTAAACTGTGAATTAAAACACATACATAGTTCAAGAAAAAGAGTAGCAAAGCTAAGGGTCTGACCTTCCACCTCTAAAGAACGGGAATCTCGCAATTTACACAGAGGTGTCTCATCCAGCTCTGGGATTATTGGATTGACACTTTGGTTGATACATTTGACGAGTACGAAAGCCCTGATCGTTCTTACTCCACAACCTTTCTTCCCATAAAGAGGTAAGCTAGGTACATGTAAAAAATTGCACACTACAAAGATTTACTGGATTTTCTTATTACCCATGAGTGTAGATGTTAGATAGTCTCCACAACCTCCACTCATATATTTTTCAAAAAATTATGCTTACATTCATATGTATGTGTTAAATATAGAATTAGTCTTCTAGATTCACGAAGTTGTTGAGTACATAAGCAAGTCACGTATAGAGTTTGATTTTGTTCATCATCTCGGTTTGTGTTCTTGATAAACGTATACATAAATGATAATAATGCTGGTGAAAAAAAAATGTAGAATTGTAACTATTTTTAAATCAATAGAGTTTGGAGCAACCTAGGATGAAAAGAGAAGCACCCACACATAACTAGGAATTTGTAGAGTTGCTTGCATATCTTTGTTTCCTTTTGCTTCTTTTGTTTCCCTCATTCTCTACATTCTATTTAATAATAAGTTTAAAATGATCAGAGGACCATATTTCCTTCAATTAATTCTAACTTTGTAAGTAATTATTCATGAAGGCAGAGTGTTAGTGTTAGGCGACAGATTTTCTCGCTACTGTTATTATTGAAGTTCATAGTGTAGACAAATCAACCTATTGCACACTAAACATCCTGTAGTTTAGTGAAAAGCAATCTTTTAAGCTGGCTTATGTTCATTTTTCTCAGGAACACAAGGACCTTCTGAATCAAAATATGATAATGTGCCTTTTTGGTTTATGTAAACAGAGAGAACTGTTTTACTCTCAGTAAAACAAAAACAGTTTGAAGGTAATCTAGCTATTGTAGCCTTATGTTCCATGTTATTGTTGTAATTCAAATATAATAAGTGTATTTGAATATTAAATCTCAAAAATAATATACAAAATTTGGAGAAACAGTAAGATAGAGCATACCATAAAGAGTTACTATTTCATTTAAAATTTTGAAAAAAATGAATTACAAGAAACCGGTTATGTAAATACAGATTTAAACTGTAAACACGTCGCATCAAAAAGTCTATATCTACAAGAAACAAAGTGATATAATTAAAGAAAAAAATATGACATAAGAAAAGAGAAGAATGCTTGAAACTCCATAAATAGTAAGTTCTTCAACTTCTCAAAAAGAAAATCAGAACTTATAATATCATAATGGTAAATCATTCACACTTGAGTTTCTTAAGAAAACACATTGCCTAAATTTTATAGCAAAAATTATAATTGTGTTAGAGAAGAGGAATTAGACTCAAATGGCAAAGAATGAAAACGTTGCCTAAATCTTAACAGCAAATTGGACGCATCCAACTAACATAAGTTAATAAAAACTTACATTTCATACAAGAAGCAAGATACCACCAGCCAACACTCAGTCAAAACAGATGTAGCACTGGAACAAAAAAATAATCAAAAGACTAATTTTTTAACAGTGGTGAAAATTATGAATTCATTGGTTCTAAAATAAAAATAAAAAAAATTCTATTTAACAATATTTTACATAAAAACTTATACATGTAGGATAAAAGAATATTTAGATCAATTTGGGTTATAATACAGAAATTTTGTTGTACGAATTTAGTTTGAAATTTTTATCGATATAGTTGCAAGTTTTTAGATGTAGAAAATATTATAACTTTTAAACAGTCGATCTAAAATAAATAACAAAAAACAAACAAAGAAAACTAAGACTATTTATTTAATGGGGATGTGAGTCTATCAGATTACCTAAAACTAATTCAAAACAAAAGTTATAAAAAAATTAGAACTGAATTGAAACATTTCTACAATCCAACCTATCTAACTAAAATTTAACTAATTTTATGTTCCTTTTGCTCATCACCTTATATATAATTTTCAATAATGAAAATATTAAAAGTTCTATTTTATAAGAAATAAAGAAATAAATGATTTAATATAATTTTATCATTGTCTAGCAACTTATATCTTAATAATACCTTATAATATTTATATGCTAAAATATACATACAAAATATATTAAAAAGATTAAAAATTAAATAAAAACCCGGGCGTAGCCCGGGCCAACCCTAGTAGTTTAATAAATAAATGGTATTCTTATTTTATGAAATAAACTAGGACAATTTTTTAAATAGATCTTTTATGTTTTTATCGTAAAAATAGATTTCAAAAATTAAAATGACCAAAATACATTTTATTTTGAAAATTTTAAGTTTTTTTAAAAAAAATTTTAAAAATTTTAAATTCTATCGTCGAAACTCTACTCTTCAACTATAAACAAAAAAGTTTAGGATTAATTAACTCAAAAGGTATAAATATATATTTTATCACTTTTTAAAAAAAAAATTATATCTGTGACAAAAAGTTTTAGGTATAGAATCATTAGAAATTTCTCAATAAACTATCATAACTAAAGAGAGAGCAGTTACGTGGCGATCATAAAGGCGATTGCCTCAATCTCCACTTTTCTGTCATTTTCACCGAGCGTTTTCGATTGATTCCCCTCGTAAGATAAAATCATAGCTCTCATTAATAAGTTTCAACTGTTTTAGCGTTGGTCATTACTCTAAAAGTCGGTCTCTGCATGCATAGGCCGGTTTAAATTATCTAATAATTTTGTATATCTAATTTGATATTTCATCACAATAATTAAATTAAAAGACTAAAATATTCTATATAGATGCAAAATATATAAAAATTTGTTAGTTTTAAGTTTTAATTA